TTATTATTATTATTTTATTATTATCGTTACTAATTATCATTAATTACAAGAGTAGCATTGAGAAAACAAGATCTGGTACCAGGTTGAGATATCATTTTGATTATTCGATTACTTCGGTTATTTGTTCATCATAAAATATATGTGATATAAATGGAAAAAGTTTTTGTTGAAATATCTCTTATATTATCACATATCATATCATTATATTCTTATATATACTAAGTGAAATTGAGGAATAATCGTTAAAATAGCCATTTTAGCCATTACTTTTTTTTAAAACATCGAAATAAAAGATCGATAAATTAATTTTAAATTTGAAACTTTAAAAAAAGAAAGCTATTCACATGATGTGATTGTTTTCCTCAAACTTGTTCCTTTATAAACAACACCAATCCTAAAGAAGAACCAGTTATATATATATATATGATTGTTGTTATTTTGATTTGTTAAATGTAAATTAATCAATTTTAATTTTAGTCTTTGGTAACAATGGTTTTCAATTAGTGCAAAGCAGGAAATGTCTTGGTGGCAAAATATTTGAAGTCCATAACGTTCAGGTAAACCTTTTAGAATTATTTGTAACTTATCACATTGTTTTAAAATATAAGCTAACAGCTAATTATCGTAGCACTTATATCGAAAAAAGTAATTTTCACGATTGTCAGAAACATTATAAACATAAAATATGGCTTAAATTTTTTGAAATTTTACCCCTAAGCAATTTTAATTTTAAATTATTACGATAATATGAAATACAATGCTTTACTCAGCATTAGGCATCGTTTTTTCCTTAATTAATATAATTATAATTTTGGCAAAAATTTAGTTAGTTTCTTTTCCTTTTCAATCGATTATTAAACTTAGTACTTATCAAATTACACATAGCAGTTTTGTTTTATTTTTCCTTTTTCTCTTTCAATTGAATTTAATTAATTAAGGAAGTATAATTAAAGAAACAAACTAAAAAGGCTTAATTAATGTCGATGATCTTCTTTAATCGTAACAAAGGTTGAGGATTACTTTTGCTTCGTTGGTTGATAATATTTCAAACTTGAGTAATTAAATCATTATTATCAATAAGTTTATTAATAAGACAGTAAAATCAGTAATTACAATTTCAATAAGATAAATTAATAAAGACAGCAATATGAAAAGGAGACCCAATTAACGCTCGACATCGTTTATCCAATCGATTTTGTTGAAATATATCTTTAGAAATGCTTCCGATGATCGTCATCCACACCATTTCCTCGAGTAGGAAGGATTTGAGATTTACATCAATTAGCATCTTTGTTAGTGCATATGGAATAGAGCAATGGATGTACAATTTTAGCTTATTTTAGCTTATATTTTAGCTTATATTTTAGCTTAAATTTTAGCTTAATCATTTCATTACACAATAAATGAAACATATGCATTATAAGTTTCATAATAGTTTCAAATTTATAACAAAATAATTAATAATTCATTGTTTTCTCTCATGATTTCATCAAAAAAACTAATGTTTTTATTTGTTTTCTTTTTTTCTTTTTTTCAAATCAATTTCAAATAATTTTCATTTTTATTATTGTTAATAATAAAAATGTGAGTAATTAAATTTTTATTAGTAACAAAAAAAAAAAACCATCCGAAGTAGATGATATTTGATAATAAATTTGAATTTTTTCAAAATTAACTTTAACATTTTTTCTGTCAAAAAACTAAATATCTAATAATATTTCTCCACTTATAATAAAATTATATTATCAATTGCTTTAAATGATAATATTATTGTTATATGTTAAATGTTACCTGTAATAGATTACCTGCATGTTTCAGGATAATGAACAATGCTTACAAGCATGTATGTATTACAATGGTGTTGCATTCAATATTATTCAATTAGGAGAATTTGAATTTATGTGTGAAATTTTAGGTACCATGAGTGGTATAATAGCACAACCAGGTGTTGCATGTTATTATCTTATTGCATAATTTTTTTTCTCATTACTAATTTATGCTATTATTTGTTTCGTATGGAAGAAAAAGTTTTATTGCATTGTATAATATAAATGTAATGATTAACTTTGTAAAATATTATTACCATTAAAATTAATTATGTAATTTGTATAATTAAATAAATAATTTAAGTTCTAAATTTTATCTCTCCAAAAAAATTCGCTCTTTTTTTTTCTTTCCACCAATATATTCCTAAAATTTTGTTTATTAATTAAATAAATTGTAAAAATTGGAATAAAAATAAAACAAAAAGATTATTTGGGAATAAAATATTTCTTAGGAATAATAATAAGTTTAATTTTGTCGAAATTTAAAAGTTTAATCTTTTAATCAATAAATTAAATGAAAAAAGGAAAAAAAACTAAGTAAGCACATTTTCTATTATCAAGAATATTGGGACACTATCATTTCGATTATTGATAATTAATATAAGTACTAGATTGCACAGTGAATAATATCTATAAATAGAATAAATAATCATTCTTAACATAGACATATTCGTAATTTAACTATATCGATATTTCAAATGATAATATAACATATCATTGTTACATTGATCTAATCAAACTAGATTATCCTCGTAAAATGCATCAGATTAAGTTAGTTAAATCATTAAAATTTATCTATCTGAAATAGAAGCTATTAATTATACCTGATTTGACAAAGGTATTCAATTGCTCAAACTATCACTTATTCTTAATATTTCCGTTATTTTTTAGTCACTAGTTGGTAATCTTTCTTCTATCTCCCAAATTGAGAATTTTGACCTCTTCCGAAATTACCAAAATTTTCACCTTTTCCACCTCCCGAATTATCAGAATTTTGACCTCTTCCACCTCCCAAATTACCAGAATTTTGACCCACCATTCTTGTTATCACCTAACACAGCTTAAAATGGAAAATATTAAAGTTCAAATGATAAAATTTATCTGACTAGAAAAAAACGAAAAGTAATTCAAAATATTTTTCATTTAATAAAGTATACATAACAAAAAATACAGCCTTAATAAATTAATATGATATGGAATTTTTCCTAAAAATAGAAAAGATAATTTCAGGTTACATGAGAAGAAGAGTAAAGATAATTGGTATTAAATTTTAAATTTTTAAAAACTGACTTTAATTTAGAAATGGAAGAATTTAAGAAATTGAAATAAATTTATGAATTTCAAGAAATTCATTGTTATTCTCTCAATTACAAATTGAGATTGTTTCATTTTAATTTCTGTAAACAATTACAGTTATTGATCATTTGAGCTATTTGCGATATTACCCGCCATAAGTAGCATAAATTGAAAGTACTGTAAGAATAATAAAAAAAAAAAACTGATAACTGAATTGAAATTATATTCAACAATTTAAACTTTAAATTTAACAAACGGAATTCAAGTTTTACAAATACGAGTAAAAACTGAAAATTTCACTAATATTGACATCACACCAGAAATTTTTTAGCTGGAATTAAAATAGCAATAACTAAAAATTATAATATTGACAATTAGAATAGAAATTTCAGAAGTTCCAATTAAAATTTCAACATTTATGATCAAAATAAATCTTATAATCAAAATAAATTTTATAGTCGAAATAAATCTTATAATCAAAATAAATCTTATAACCAATTAATCTTATAATCAAAATAAATCTTATAACCAATTAATCTTATAATCAAATAAACC